GCTTGGATCAAATGATGTAGGATAAAGGAAAGTCTCAGTGGTATATAAGGAAAAAAGAAAAAAAGAAAAAATACACACACACACACACACACACACACACATATATATATATATATACATACATAAATAAATAAAATAAAAGTGTTCTATAAAGAATGAAATATACGCACAAGAGATACAAAGAGATAAAGATAGAGATAGAGATAGAGAGAGAAAGAGAGAGAGAGAAAGAGAGAGAAATGGAGAAAGAAAGTGTATACATAGAAAGACTCATCTATACGTTAGCTGTACACCTACCATTCTGAAAACGCATTCGTAGTATTTTTAACCTTTTTCTATGAACGCTCGCTCAGAGAGCTTTCATTTTTTCTGGTAAACGGGAATTCATAAATGTCCTTCCGTACGGCCGTAGGGTGGAGCGGAACAGTGTAATTAAACGGCATGATGTGGGAACGTACTAATGGGATTACTTAAAATAATGTGCTTCTCAATATGCTGTCTGGAATTATTGTAGCCGAAAATTCATTTCGCGTTGAAAGAGTATCGTTACGAATTTAATTTAATGAGAGAGAGAGAGAGAGAGAGAGAGAGAGAGAGAGGCATAAATCTATGCGAAATTCTAATCCAATTATAATGCATCGAATTACTTTTTTCACCGATCTCTCTCTCTCTCTCTCTCTCTCTTTCTCTCTTTCTCTCTCTCTTTTTTCCGATTATCATTTTTATCCATCTATCTTTTTTAATTTCAACGATGAAAGAAAAATTGAAATCACTGTCCCGTAATAATCTATCGTCTCGGATGTTAAGCGTTTAAATGTTCTTAATTACATCAATGTGAGAAGAACATTTCAATTCTTAACGATAATACCTATATATATATATCTACCTCTCTCTCTCTCTCTCTCTATATATATATATATATATATATACATATATAATAAAGTTTATATATATATATATATATAAAATAAAGTTCATTTCAATGCTACGGGTGGAACCGATAAAACTCGTCGATCCATACATCGATCGACATTATTTCTCAATCTGAAACTAACATGTAGAGAGAACTGTATTCAACTCCGCTGTGAGATGAGCAAAACAAAAAAGTTAAAAGAGAAAAAACAAAAAAACAAAAAAAAAACAAAAAAGAAAAAAGAAAGAAAGAAAGAAAACAACAAAGAAAAAAGACATAAAAAAAAATAAAAAAAAGGAACAGAATGTACAGGAGAATCGAGTCCGAAAAATTTCTGTCCAATTTCTGGCGTACCCTCTGGCATACAACTATATGGATAACTACTGTACACGCGTACATACACACATACACACACACACACACACACACAAACAAATACACACAGCCTAATACATACACAAACTTAAATGCATATACATATATATTTGTGAGACGCGCCTACTTTGGAGGCGTGTTGCTGACTTTTGGAAATTGTAGGCGGCACTCGGTTGTCGGCGTAAAATAAATCAGCTTGTGCCGAGTGAGAAGCTAGCCTGCTGGTCTATATATATATATATATACATATACATATATATATATATATACGTATGTATGTATGTATATTCTGGCACGTCTTGGCTATATACTCTTCCTTAAGTTCTCGCGTTGTTTCCCATCTCAGCAAAATGGGCGATGTCTGCGTGTAGTAGTCTTACGCGTCGCGTGCCTAAAGATTTCGTTCTCTTCGAAAGTCGGAAGAATATAGGCTGACTGTTCGGCTTTCTCTCTTTCTCTCTTTCTCTCATTCTCTATCTATCTATCTATCTCTCTCCCACTTTCCCCATCCTCATAAATCCCTGCAGGATGCTCCTAGTCCTTTCCCTTACGAGACGTGGGATACACGTACGAATCTCCGTAGCTTTCGTCTCTTTTTCTCTCTCTCTATCTATCTATCTCTATCTTTATCTCTATCTCTTTCGTCGTACACTATTAGGAAACTCGTGGAAAATCTTTGAAAACGATTTGCCTCACACTTTCCCTCTTTCCTTTCATATTTTTTTCTCCTTCCTTTTTTCCCCTTTTTTTTTTTCTCTCTACTTTTAACCCTCCTCACCCACAACTCCCACCTCCTCCTCCCCACCCTTTCACATTTCCTTAGAGTTTCTGTGAGAAAAAAGAAGGTGGAAAAGAAAAGAGACAAGAAAAAGAAATGAAAAGAGAGACAGAGAGAGAGAGAGAGAGAGAGAGAGAGAGAGAGAAATTGCAATGTGAATATCCTACTGAAGATGAGCGTGAAAGGATAAGAGAAGTTTGAATTTACATCGGTAGTATAAATTTCATGAATCTTCGGATCTTCGATCGTTCGGTCGGTCGGTCGGTCGTCATTGTTGTACACGTTCGGTGTCTTTTTATATGTAACGCGCCTATGGATTTTTATCCATCGAGGAGAAAGAAGAATAAGAAGAAGAAGAAGAAGAAGAAGAAGGAGAAAGAGAAGAAGAAGAAGAAGAAATCGGACAGAGCTGAGCGAACGCGCGCGTCTGTTCC